ACTCCAATCCTACTGAATCCTGTGCAGTGCTCCCGGTACAAATGTGCTCTGTGCTTCTTTCTGCATCTGCTGTTCCGCTGGAAGTCCTCTCTTTCTCCTCCACCTAATCCCTGTCCTTCCCTCAAAAGTCACTGACCTCCCCTGGAAAGTCCTCCCTGATCACCTCTCATTTCCACAGATCCTCCCTCACTCCCTGTCCATGCTTCCACAGCCTTAGCACAGAGAACTGTTCCTTCACTTGGTCCTCTGCTGTCCCACACTGTGAGCGACAGGAGGACGGGACTGTCAGCTCTGAATGTATCTTTCATCTCCACATGACAGAGACCTTCAGCCCTAGCCCACAGGGCAGGATATAATAGGCAGCCTGGAATGAATGAATGAATGAATAGAGTGCCTTGACAAGATGCAGAGAACCTAAGTAAATTTCCTGCAACAAAAGTTCTTTGAGTCACCATTCTTACTAAATTGGACTGCTAATCTAAGTACAGAAGATACTGAGATTGAACTGAATCTGCTATCACCTGTTAGTATTTTTTATTGTACCAAGCAAAACAGCAGAGTTCAGTAAATATCTGCTAATGAATAAATAAGCAAGGATATGAATATATAAATTCCTCATTTTGCAAATGCCTAAGATTCTTCTATTTGCTGCCGGGAGGTCTGTTGAATGACCATAAATCAAAGCCACTTGAGATATACGAAATTTCAAAAAATGATTTTAAATATCTGTAAGAGTTGTGGAGTCTTAAAGATGTGTTGCTAGGTGCCAGTGGCTCACACCTGAAATCCTAGCTACTGAGATGCTGAGATTGGGAGACCTGAAGTTTGAGGCCAGCCTAGAAAAATAGTTTGCAAGATCCCATCTCCAAAATAACCAGAAGTGTGGTTCAAGTGGTAAAGCACCTGCTTTGCAAGTACAAAGCCCTGCATTCAAATCCTAATCCCACCGAAAAGAAAATGAAGTGAAAGAATGTAAGATCCCATTAGATTCAAAAGGCTTTCTTACAGAACACATTTCCTATTTAATATCTTAGGACCCTGAGAATTCAAATGATTAGAATTGGGAGAAATATACACGCTCAGATTCCTAACAGCCCCCTAAACCACAAAACTGTCAATAAGCATCAACCTGAATAAGAGTAGCAGGCTTCAAGAGAAGACAGTGAGCTATGAGATGGACCCGTTCTTAAGTTATAGAGTCCAGCTTAAAAAACAAGGCTCTGTGTAACAGCCCAGGTAGTCAAAGGAATGCCTCTGGATGTGTCTAGCTCTTGCTTGCAAGTCCCACTGAGCTCTCTGTAAACGTAAGTGAGATACCTGGAAAACAGCAGTCTTCCTTGGTGGGCAGACACCTTTCCACCCCAGAAAGTTAAGAATTAAGTAGCTACCTTAGAAAGTAGGCTCAGTGAGATGGTAACTGTGCAGAGGGGCTAACTATGTCCCAATGTTCCCTATAGTAACAGAACTCCAAGTCTCTGCCAAACCCATGCTGTCCAGTGAGGGACTGCAGTCAGTTCTTGTCCTTCCCTGTAGTTAAGTGACCACAGAGGCCATGTCACTAAGTTCTGGACAATCACATGGGGACAGAGGTCATGTGGGAAGTTTCTGGATGACAATTTTAAAGAGTAAACTGGTTCTCTCCCACTTTCTCTCTTCCCCTGTTCTGAGAGCTGTGATGTGGATGAAGGTGATGGTGGCAGAGCAGAAGGGCACAGTAGAAACCAGCCCCCACCAAGAGGCTGTGTTATCACCACCTAGGATGGCAGAGCAACAAGACAAAAGGAAAGTGGGCCCCTGTGGGTCATCTCAGTGCAGAACTAGATGCCTGAGAGAGAAATTAACTTCTAGCTTACATGAGCCTATAGTTCTGGGTCTCTTCCTTACAGTAGCTTAGTCTGTACCCCACACACTAGGGTAATTTTGTTCCTTAAGAGGCTGTATGTCATTTAACCCCCTAATGATGTATGACTGACAACCTAGGTAATTAGAAAGTATAGCAGTTAGGCACTGGCGTTTAGCTCCGTGCATGAGCTAAACTCATACTTGCTAAGTGCGCATGAGACCCTAGGTTCAATTCCCAGCACCAAAAGCCAAAATAAAAAGTACCAGAAGTTATAGTTTTGTGTTAAGAAAAAAATCTGGTGCTGGTGCCGGTGCCAGTGGCACATGCCGGTAATCCCAGCTCCTCAGGAGGCAGAGATCAGGAAGATCGTGGTTTGAAGCCAGCCTGGAGAAATAGTTCTCCAGACCCTATCTCAAAAAAATCCTTCACAAAAAAAGGGCTCAAGTGGTAGAGCGCCTGCCTAGCAAGCGTGAGGCCCTGAGTTCAAATCCCAGTACTGCCAAAGAAAGAAAGCATCTGTGCATAGCTGATACTTTGTTTAGTTGCAATATTTTAGAATTCCTGGTTTTGGTTTTAAGCTGAAATCTTACTAACTTTATATGTAATATGAGGATGTATAAGAAATCTTTAAGCTTACCATATTTAGAAGCTTAATAAGATATGAGTTATATAAATTGTTCATCCAGAACACTTGTGCATCTAAAAAGAAACTAGGGGGAAGGGGACGAAGCCGGAGAGGCAGGAGGTAGATAAACATAGGTGCATGTACCTTCTACAGTGAGTGATAAGTTCATGGGTATTTCTTATTTCATTCATTCTCTTATTCCAGAATGAATGAGGGCCATGCATAAACCAAAGGTCAGAGCACACTTTGAGCAAGGGTCACCATTAAGCCAATTTTATGCATTAGAGTTTTAAAATAAAATATTTTAACATACTTGAGTCTGTACACAGTATAAGTATTATTCAAAAATCCCTTCAAAAGTGATTGCAAATTTTTGCTAAGTTTATAAGAATGGCCAAGCTGGATTTAAAAGCCCAAAGAACAGGTTATCATATGACATGGACTCTCCACAGGTCAAAAAAACAAAGAAAAAAGACAATATCAGCAATGTTTTATGACTCAACCTAATTGATCATTTAATTAGCCATTTTAACTTGACAAACATTCATTAAAAAAATAAAGTTTGGGCCAGACACAGTGACTCACATCTGTAATCCCAGCTAGTTGGGAAGCAGCGATCAAGAGGACCATGATTCAAGGTTACAAAAGTTATCAAACAAGCTAGGCATGGTGGCACTCTCTAGCTACTGAGGAGGCATATGTAGGAGGATCCCAGTCTGAGGTTGGCCGAGGAAAGAAACAAACCCTATCTGAAAAATAACCTAGAGCAAAATGGGCAGAAGGAGCGCCTTAAATGGTAGATAACATGCCTATTTACTTACTTATAAAAATGAAGTTTATGATTAGTCTTTATTGTGTGTAAAAATTACCCAAGTTCACCAAAAACCTGCACATCAACAGTTGGTCTCTTTTGACAAAACTAAGCAGTCTACCACAAGTGCTGCTTGATTGGGTCTTGGGTTAACCAAACCCTTCCTGCTTGGGGACCTCAGTGCCCCGTATCTCTTTAAAACAACTAACGTGTTCTTCTGGCAACTAGGAAGGGTATGAGCACTGGTTAACATGCAGCTGGTGGCTTTAGGCATGTCATTTAATCTTACAACCTCAGATTTCTTGACTTTAAAATAGCAGTAAAAATACTTTGCAGAGTTGAACACATTAGGGCAATGCATGTATAACACCTCAGTAAACAGCTCTACTGCCATCATAAGTGAGGGTGAGGCAAAACGCTATGAACCTTGTGAAGAGAACAGTGTCTTGGCACACCAGCCTGCTCTGGGGCCCACTCGCCAGATCCTCTGCCTCCTTTACTGTGTTCACCCATCTCCCAGCTTCTAACAGTCGGTCTTGAGTTCTAGTCAATTATTTCCTTGTGTCACTCCCTTTTCCTTCTCTCTCATCCCAGTACAGTGTCTTGAGAACCATGCTGGAGAAACAGGAATCCCGTGAACACACACGGCCAGCAGCACCCAGCCTCCCTACTGGATCACATGGCAGGTGAGGGGCACAGGGTTGGTGAGTGGGTGGGTGAGTGAAGACAGAGGCGAGGTCAACTCATCACAGACAGGGGAGGCCGATACCCACAGAGCTGGGTGATGGCAACACTTCCATGAACCTAAGGACCCCGGACTGCATCTGGTGGATGGGTAGAGTGTCCCAACTGGACGTGCATCCAGAATGAGAACTCTGGCTGGAAGTGTGGCTCCAGTGACAGAGCACCTTGCCTACCAAGCGTGAGGCCCTGAGTTCAAACCCCGCACTACCCAAAAAAAAACCCAAAACAGAATGAGAACTCTGGCCATGGAGTGGGGGAGGAAGCAATGCAAGGAAGGGCCACAGACAGATATTTTCATAGTTTAGACAAAAGATACTTAAGATGAAAATGAAATGAGGAGCAATGGGAAGGAAGGTGCAGAGCTAGGAAGTGGTATTAGTAGAACTTTAACTTAGTGGAAGTGAGGAGGAGGCGAAAGGAAGAGGAGGTTAGGGTGTTCCACTGGAATTTTCCTTTGGACACATGACTGAGTTTGAAATATTTTCAGAATACCCAGGGTAAGATGTCTAGGAAGAAGGAAGATATGGAAAGTGGCCATTCAGGCCAATGGGGAGCAAGAGATGGTGGGATAGACAACCCATCCAGGGTGGCCAAGGAGAGAGCATCAGGCAGGGCTGCCCAAGTATGCATAGCATAAATCTCAAAGACAAGCTTTACATGTGGTTTTACGTTTTCTAGCAGCTGAATTAAAAAAGTAAAGAGAAACAGGTGAAAGTCGTTTTGTTAATACATACGCAATGTGACCTAAAATACTCAAAAAGAAAAGAAGCTACCACAAAGGCCAGGAAAGATCATTCATTAAAAAAAGGGAGGGAGGGGCTGGGATGTAGCTCAGTGGTGGAGCACTTGCCTAGCATGCGTAAGGCCCTGCATTCGATCCCAATACCAAAGAGAAAAGGCAAAAAAAAAAAAAAACCTTGGTTTGGATTAAGACACATATTTCCCTTATGGCATATAAGTAAAAAATAAATACTCACTGTTTCGGGAGAAGATGGCCTCTGGAAACTGTCACCTTGTACCCAAATGCTCTCTGTCACAAATGCTATGTGCTCTGCTTCAAGTATAAAGGGAGAAACAAGAACCAGGGCCCATTTGTTCAAGTCATCAATGGACTGCATAGAGAAAGAAACATAAAGAGGACTCAATGGCACTTCAAACCACAACTGGCACACCTCCCTCCTGCCATTCCAGGTAAGATCTCCACAAAGTTCCCAGTGCACTTCTGCAGACCACACCAACCTCTGCTTCTCCTTCCTTCAACTTTGGCACCTCTATGACTCACATCAACGACTGCTATTCGTTTTCATGCAATTAAATTCTAACCACTATTCCTTACAACACAGCACTGGGAGCTTTCGAAATCACATGTGGGATCACATCTAAGAGAGAGGAAGCCTGAGAGTGAATGTCGGCCTGCAGAAGCCCTGAGATCAGCCTTCACTCAGCACAGCACGCAGCACAGCCTCCCTCCTCATTCCTCAGAGTGGGGTGAAAACTGCTCCTCTCCCGCCATCTGAGACATAATTTCTTCCTGAAACTCACACAATCGACAAGCCAGAGACAAAATAAGCTGCTTCAGTAAAAGCCCTCTAACACATGCACAGAAGTCATCATTATGTTTTACAGGGAATATAAACTCCAGGCAAGATTTTAATTTCTTTTTTCTTTAAAGGAGGTTGACACAAGGCTGGGTAGCAGATCAGATGCAGTTGGCCCTTCTTACTTGTAGGTTCCACATCCATGAGTTTCAACAAAAAATATTTTTGTCTGTAACTGAACAAGTAGATTTTAATTGCTGTCATTATAAACAATACCATATAAGAACTATTTCCATGGCGTTTACATGGTATTAGGTATTAAGAGTAATCTAGAGGTAATTTAAATACAGGGAGGATTTGTGCCAAATGCAAGCACTATGTCATTTTATGTAAGGGACTAGGGCATCCACAGATTTTACTATCTTGTTTTGGGCCAGTTAACTCCTTTTAAAATCCTAAAGATTTCAGGAAGAACAAGAAAATGATTTTACAAGGTGGCCCACCAAAATCAAGGCACACCCAGAACAGAAAAAGCTGAAATCTAAGGCTGCAGACAGAAACTCGTATCGCCATCATTACTCCCTCCAAAAAAAGGGACAAATCCCTGACACAGCATCAAGCTGGGAGAGGCAAAATTAACCGTGCAAAATGGGGAGCACAGCATGTTACAGAACCCCTGAAAGTGCAAGGCTGCCCCTACTCCAGCCTGGGAAGGGGCAAGGGCCAGAAAATTAGTTAGCAAACAGAAGACTAATAAAGTCAGGAGATGTTCCAAAGTAAAACTGTCTAAGAAAGCCAGGCACAGTGGTGCACATCTACACTCCCAGCACTCAGGAGGCTGAGTCAGAAGGATCAAAAGTTCAAGGCACATGCCTGTAATCCTAGCTACTTGGGAGGTGGAGATCTGGAAGATCAACGTTCCTGGCAAGCCCAAGCAAGTTAACAAGACCTCATCTCAACCAACTGCTGGGTGTAGTGGTGTATGCCTGTCATCTCAGCTATAAGGGAAGCATAAATTGGAGATCATCTCAAAAATAACTGAAACAAAAAGGGCTGGTGTGTGGCTCAAATAGTAGAGTGTCTGCCTGGAAAGCATAAAGCCCTGAGTTCAAATCCCAGCACTACCAAAAAGCCTAAATGATATTTCCTAAACAAATTAATCCAGCTTGGAAGCCACTACAATAAAAAAAAAAAAAATCCACCTGTAAGCCCATAATGATGACACACACCATAATCCCAGCAATCAGGAAGCTGAGGCAGGAAGATCATGAGTTTGAGGCCAGCCTTGGTTACACAGCAAGACCCGGTCAAAACAAAAACAAAAACAACTGTTATTCCTGATCTTAGCTATCTTTGTCAATCAGGTTCCTAAGAGAATCAAGTCCTGATGTTGTAAGGAGTCCACTGCATGTAATGAATGAACTGTCCCCCAGGAGTGGAGGTGTACTAGTTCCATGCTTTCTTCGGGAGAACTGAGGAAATTCAGATTCAGTGCATTATGGTACACTCTTTTTGATTTAGGGTGTTTTTATTTGAGGCCAGCACAATGTCATCCCATACCTAAGTACAGCTCAAAAAAATGTTCAATCTGAAGATTCCCATATAGATGTCATGGTTTGACATATTTTTTAAAAATCTCATTTTAATGCTAAAGGCGCATTTCCAGAAGGAGGAGGAAAGGGCAAGAAACGGATTAACAACAAAGCACTTTTCAATGCTGGTGATGTTGTGAAACTTTGCGTACACGTGCACTGTGAAGTCTATTTCCCAAAGTAGCTGGAGGGAAAGAATTAGTGTTCCCTTTCACGCCTGGGCCAAAAAGAGAAGAGAGGAAAAAAAGAAAAAAAAAAAAAAAAAGCCCAACTGTCCACTGAAATGTTAGAGATGCAAAGTGAGTGAGGTGCACTTGCTGATGAGTGACGCCCAGGCCGGAAGATGGAAAGGGGGACAGGGCGAGTTCGTCGCCCCGGGGCTCTCCGATAGAAATCCAGAGAACTGAGCTTTCTTTCCAAGTTCAAGTGCACGCAGGGCCGCCCACGCAGCGGAGGACGTCTCGGCAGGCTCCAGATGGGCGCTGCCGCTGTCCAGGCTGGTGGCACCCGCCCGGGGCCATGCCACAGCCCTGTGATCACGCACTGGCCGGGCGCCGCAGGGAGGCCACGCGTCCCCAGGGCGGGCTCCGGACCTGGGATCCCCGGTCCCCCCGGAGCTGGCCGCGGGGCAGCAGGGTCTCCGGCGCCCGCCCGCGCCGCCCCCGGTCCCGGCCCCGCCGCCCACCTGGCTCTCGCCGACGCAGAAGACGCGGCCGCCGCGGGTCAGGCACACGCGCGCGCCCCCGGGCTGCGCGGCCGCGCCGCAGAAGGTGAAGGAGCAGCGCGAGGCGCGCAGCCGCCGCACCGTGGAGCGCACGAGCGCGGAGGGCCCGCGCCCCCAGCGCGCCCACAGGTACAGGTAGCACAGCGTGATGAGCATGGCCGGCGCCCGGGGCCGGGACGCCGCCAGCCGCCCGCCCTGCCCCCAGCGGACCGGAAGAGCCGCGCCGCACTGAGGCTGCGCGGAGGGCGGGGGGGGGGGAGCGGCGGGAGTGTGTGTACACGCGCGATAGAGGGAGGAGGGAGACTATGGTGAGAGAGAGTGTGTGTGTGCACGCATGTGGGTAGATGTGTGTGCAGGGCGGTGGAGGGGGGAGACTGCGCTGGGGTGGGGAGTGATGGAGGGGTAGGAAGACCATGCAGGAGTGGGGGATGGGGTCATGGAGAAGGGCAGCCACGGGGGAGGGAGGAGGGTGTATCTGTGTGTGATGAAGGAAGGAGGCCGCCAGGGATCGGGGTTGCGTAAGGGTGGGGGGAGCTGGGACACGGAGGGTGATGGGGGTAGGGAGGCTGCCTGGCACTGGGGACAGACTTGGCCAAGACAAAAGATAGTGATGGGAGGGAAGTCACAAATGAGGAAGTGGCTGCTCCAAGAGGGCTGGAGGTGAGGGGGTGAACTGGAGGTGTGCTGCAGTCCAAGGTGTGTTGCACTAGTAGACCCTCTTAAGGTGGTAGTGGAGGCCACACAAGGGAATGGAAGGGGCAGGGAAGGCCACTGGAGTGGAGTGATGAGGGAGAAAGGAGGGGCTCTGGGGAGGGGGAGGGTTATAGGTAGGTTGGGGGATTAGGGGGTCTGCCCTGTAGCTGACCTTATTAAGTCCAGCCTCCCCTTCTTGAGGGTGGGAGACAGATTGAGGAAGCCGCTGAGTGTATGTTTATAACATCAATAGCCAACATTTGCTAACTAGCACCATGCTAGGAGTGAAAGAGCTAACACGGCCTCTATCCCGTCCCATGGGAGAATACGTGAGGCTGTTTGATTAGATCATACTAAGCCTTCACGCAAAAAGGACTTTAAAGTAAATTACATAAATTCACACAAGGCAATAATTTTCTCTTATTGAATAAGAGCAAAGGACAGATCAGCCCCCAAAAGGCTGCAGGATATGTTCTTCCCACAAGTGGGTCACCAGTTTGACAGTGAGCATCCTAACATGGGTGAAAAGACATTACATCAATTATGATTCAGTGTTCTTGTCCCCAGCATAATTATTGCTGACACTGGTGGGTTTTTCCCATGTGACTTCACTTCTTTAAAGGCAGTTGTAAAGAACAGTGTCCTCAACACCTCTGACCATAGCAAAGAGCTTCCAGGAGCTGCTTGCTATCCCGACCCTTGTTGTAAGTAGATGGCATAAACCAGTAAAAAGCAATCAGATACACTACTCCCAAATCTTACCTGAGCCCAGGATAAATTTTTTTAAGTATCCCGACCATTTATCCATCTGCTTTAGAATAGCAGGGTAGAATACCCACTCACAGAACCCCTGGTTAATTCTCCCCATTTTGTATAGGTTTAAAAAAGAAAGTCCACAAAGAATTAACTGGGCTCAAAAGCAAAACTTCTAGCTGGGTGCAGTGGCTCACAGCTGTAGCTACTCAGAAGTTAGAGAGTAGGAGGATCAAGGTTTGAAGCCAGACTGGGGCAAATAGTTCACAAGACGCTAGTTCAAAAAAATCTATCACCAAAAAGGACTGGCAGAGTGGCTTCAGCCATGCTTCAGTGGTAAGAGTGCCTGCCTAGTAAGCATGAGGCCCTGAGTTCAAACCCCAGTGCCACCAAAAAAAAAAAATTAATTAAAAAGAAAGAGTCCACAAAGAATTAACTGGGCTCAAAAACAAAACTTCTAGCTGGGTGCAGTGGTGGCTCATGTCTTTAATTCTAGCTACTCAGGAGGCAGAGATCAGGAAGATCAAGATTCCAGGCCAGCCGGGGGCAAAAAATGCAAAAACACTATTCAGAAAAGAACTAAAGCAAAAGGGTAGGGGTGTGGCTCAAGTGGTCGAGCAGCTGCCTAGCAGGCACAAACCCCTGAGTTCAAACCCCAGTACCACCACCACCACCAAAAAAAAAAAAAAATCTGTGCACCAGAAATAGAAGACAGTAAGTGATGAGTGGACTGAGGCCATAGCCCGCCTCACACTGAGTCCATCTCCATGGGAACATCACCAACCCCCCCCAGTTTTTCCAAGTTCCTTATGAGCATTGCAACCTCACCTTCACAAGCACCATCAGTCCATCTGGCCCACAGGAACTGCCCCTGATTGACCCTTAGATGTTTCTAGATGTTATGGTGTCAGAATACATGGTGGGAAAATTCCATTTTAGAATCAATCCTATATACAATTCCAGGTTTTAAAGAATGGGGACTACCATGTTTCTGCACGGACTGAGAATGGGTGAGCCCCCTACTGGACCCTTCCATTGACGAGTACTGGCAGGGGGGTGGGGAGGTTTGAGAAATTAAATGGTCACGTAGCAAGCTCTGCTTATGACTCCTACCTAAAGTGACCTCATTTTGTTTTGCAAAGGGTCAAGAGTGGAGTTTAGTTTCATCAACCCCAGATAGTAAAGGAAGAAGAGAAGGATGCAGAATAAGCCGTGGAGAGGTCTTACCATGTACATACCTGATGCCTGTCCCCTGAGCCCTTGCTCCTCAAATGTGGTCCTTAGGCCAGCAGCAGCAACATCACCTGGGACACTAGAAATGCAGAATCCTAGGCCTTCCCAGATCCTAGCTCCACACACCTCCCTTTTAACAAAATCCCCAGGTGACTCACAGACAGTAAGGCTTAATAGCAGTGCTGAAGCCATCTCTGTTAGTCCCCTGATCTGGGTTGCTCTAGACTCTTAAGTAAACATTTCCAGACCGTTGTGAAAAGACCGCAGACAGAGTTTAAAAGCAAGACTGTTATTTATAAGAACAATACCACACAAAGGAAGAAGCGCCATGGAAGACACCTCACTGACCTACCGAAATGAGTGCTTTTCATGGGAAGGTCTAGCCTCCTGCCTTCAGGAGGGCATGCCTGAAAATAATAGTTTGGGAACACAACAGAGTAAAGTGTTAACCAAAAGAATGTTACTGTCACTGAAGAAGCTGTCCTGTCACCCCCAGCTCATAAATAGATGCCAGCTTCTCCCCAGGGAAACATTAATTCAACACCCCTCTGAACTTGCAAAGTAGTCAGAACTCTCATCGAATGACCAGACTTGAGAAGGGTACTAGTCAGCTGGGTGCTGCCTATAACCCTGGCTACTTAGGAGGCTGCTATCCAGAGGACTAGAGTTCAAAGCCAGCCTGGGCAAATAGTTTTTGAGACCCCCCAATCTCCAAAAAAAATGAAGCAAAATGGGCTGGAGGTGTGGCTCAAGTAGTAGAATGCCTGCTCTGCAAGCACAAAGTTCCAAATTCAAACCACAGTCCCACCAAAACAAAAAACCTCCCATCTAGTAGGAAGCTTTGGGTAGATGCTGAAATTTACATATCTAACTAGACAGTCTCTGGCTTCCAAATAAAAGAATCCATGTCTTTCATCACAGTGTTGGAGTACCAAAAAACAAGTTTGTGAATTTCAGATGAAACTCAGAGACCCCAGGATGTGAAGAATGACCATCTGTCTGAACAAGTACCTCTGGAAAAATAATTTAACTATTTAATTGAAATCCTGATGCTTGTTAGTAAAAGCTATACAATGTCAAGAACTTTCTCTCAAAATTTGATTGTCTGTGGTATGCCTGTTTATTAACCAGAAGGTGGCAATGTTGATATTCACATATGTAGTCATAACTGAATTAAACTATTTTAAACCAATAATCCTTTTTTATTGGTGTAAATTCAAAATTATAAGTTTAATTTTGGACTGACAGACACAGTCACAGGCTAAAGACAAATTAGAGACTTGGTCTGTGATTAGGGCCTCCAAAGGAAGAAAAAGCTAGGTTTTTTATTTGTTCATCTTGAACCTGGGGCCTTGTGTATGCTAGGTGCCACTCTGCCACTGAGCTACAGCCCCAGGCCCAAAGTGGTCAATTTCAACTTGCCAATTAAACAGACATCCAGGTGCAATAAAGGTAGAGATCACTCCAATCCCAATACCACTGCCCTTGACAAAAGATTAATTTGGGAATTCCAGTTTTAAAAACATTTTCTTCAAATGGGGAAATTTTTTTATTAAATGCTTCTTAAATTTCCAAAAATGATTCTATATAAAATGAAGCTATGACATATATTTAACTGTATTTGGTTTATTTTTCTAATGTTATTTCTTGCTCTTAGAAGGTTGGTATTTATCAAAGGGAGCCTCATTTCTCTGTCAAAGTTGTTTCCGAGAAGAACACAATAACAGGAGAGAAAGCAAGATGTGAATTAAAAGACATTGTCACATAAAACCCTAGGACCCTGTCATTAGTGTGTTACTCTTTCTTTATTACAGGGAATTCCAAAATAACAGCTGTCTCCCTGATTTCCCAGCAGTAAAAATAAACACATGTACTGGTTCTAGGTCAAGTTAATGCTAATTGGGAGAATCATTTGAATTTACTCACAGTAAGTCTTAATACAATAACAAAAACATGATGTCAAATTGGTACAGGAATATTACATAGCTTTTATTTTATTTGCAGAACTGGAATGGAACCTAGGGCTTCACACATGCTAGGCAAATCCTCTACCACTGAGCTATATGGATGGCCCTTCCCATTTATTTATTTATTTATTTTGAACTATTTGTATGTATGTATGTATGTATGTATGTATGTATGTATGTATTTATTTATTTATTTATTTATTTATTTATTTGTTTGTTTATTTATTTATTTATTTATTTATTTATTTTAGACAGCATTTTACTATATGGCCCAGGCTGGCATCGATCTTGTGATTCTCCTTTCTCAACCTCTCAGGTAGCTGGAATTACAGGCAAGCACCATCACACCCAGCTGTTTCATATCTCTTAAAAGAAGATCATAAATGTTAGGGAACAACATTACTGTTTTAAGAGCAAGACAGAGATGAGGGTGGTGTTGCATGCCTGTAATCACAGCACTCGGGAGACAGAAGCAAATAGATCACGACTTCACAGCCAGCCTGAGCTACATAGTGAGACCCTGCCTCAAG